CTATGGACCGGTTGGACCAACTGGCCTGTTGGTCCTATGGACCGGTTGGACCAACTGGCCTGTTGGTCCTATGGACCGGTTGGACCAACTGGCCTGTTGGTCCTATGGACCGGTTGGACCAACTGGCCTGTTGGTCCTATGGACCGGTTGGACCAACTGGCCTGTTGGTCCTATGGACCGGTTGGACCAACTGGCCTGTTGGTCCTATGGACCGGTTGGACCAACTGGCCTGTTGGTCCTATGGACCGGTTGGACCAACTGGCCTGTTGGTCCTATGGACCGGTTGGACCAACTGGCCTGTTGGTCCTATGGACCGGTTGGACCAACTGGCCTGTTGGTCCTATGGACCGGTTGGACCAACTGGCCTGTTGGTCCTATGGACCGGTTGGACCAACTGGCCTGTTGGTCCTATGGACCGGTTGGACCAACTGGCCTGTTGGTCCTATGGACCGGTTGGACCAACTGGCCTGTTGGTCCTATGGACCGGTTGGACCAACTGGCCTGTTGGTCCTATGGACCGGTTGGACCAACTGGCCTGTTGGTCCTATGGACCGGTTGGACCAACTGGCCTGTTGGTCCTATGGACCGGTTGGACCAACTGGCCTGTTGGTCCTATGGACCGGTTGGACCAACTGGCCTGTTGGTCCTATGGACCGGTTGGACCAACTGGCCTGTTGGTCCTATGGACCGGTTGGACCAACTGGCCTGTTGGTCCTATGGACCGGTTGGACCAACTGGCCTGTTGGTCCTATGGACCGGTTGGACCAACTGGCCTGTTGGTCCTATGGACCGGTTGGACCAACTGGCCTGTTGGTCCTATGGACCGGTTGGACCAACTGGCCTGTTGGTCCTATGGACCGGTTGGACCAACTGGCCTGTTGGTCCTATGGACCGGTTGGACCAACTGGCCTGTTGGTCCTATGGACCGGTTGGACCAACTGGCCTGTTGGTCCTATGGACCGGTTGGACCAACTGGCCTGTTGGTCCTATGGACCGGTTGGACCAACTGGCCTGTTGGTCCTATGGACCGGTTGGACCAACTGGCCTGTTGGTCCTATGGACCGGTTGGACCAACTGGCCTGTTGGTCCTATGGACCGGTTGGACCAACTGGCCTGTTGGTCCTATGGACCGGTTGGACCAACTGGCCTGTTGGTCCTATGGACCGGTTGGACCAACTGGCCTGTTGGTCCTATGGACCGGTTGGACCAACTGGCCTGTTGGTCCTATGGACCGGTTGGACCAACTGGCCTGTTGGTCCTATGGACCGGTTGGACCAACTGGCCTGTTGGTCCTATGGACCGGTTGGACCAACTGGCCTGTTGGTCCTATGGACCGGTTGGACCAACTGGCCTGTTGGTCCTATGGACCGGTTGGACCAACTGGCCTGTTGGTCCTATGGACCGGTTGGACCAACTGGCCTGTTGGTCCTATGGACCGGTTGGACCAACTGGCCTGTTGGTCCTATGGACCGGTTGGACCAACTGGCCTGTTGGTCCTATGGACCGGTTGGACCAACTGGCCTGTTGGTCCTATGGACCGGTTGGACCAACTGGCCTGTTGGTCCTATGGACCGGTTGGACCAACTGGCCTGTTGGTCCTATGGACCGGTTGGACCAACTGGCCTGTTGGTCCTATGGACCGGTTGGACCAACTGGCCTGTTGGTCCTATGGACCGGTTGGACCAACTGGCCTGTTGGTCCTATGGACCGGTTGGACCAACTGGCCTGTTGGTCCTATGGACCGGTTGGACCAACTGGCCTGTTGGTCCTATGGACCGGTTGGACCAACTGGCCTGTTGGTCCTATGGACCGGTTGGACCAACTGGCCTGTTGGTCCTATGGACCGGTTGGACCAACTGGCCTGTTGGTCCTATGGACCGGTTGGACCAACTGGCCTGTTGGTCCTATGGACCGGTTGGACCAACTGGCCTGTTGGTCCTATGGACCGGTTGGACCAACTGGCCTGTTGGTCCTATGGACCGGTTGGACCAACTGGCCTGTTGGTCCTATGGACCGGTTGGACCAACTGGCCTGTTGGTCCTATGGACCGGTTGGACCAACTGGCCTGTTGGTCCTATGGACCGGTTGGACCAACTGGCCTGTTGGTCCTATGGACCGGTTGGACCAACTGGCCTGTTGGTCCTATGGACCGGTTGGACCAACTGGCCTGTTGGTCCTATGGACCGGTTGGACCAACTGGCCTGTTGGTCCTATGGACCGGTTGGACCAACTGGCCTGTTGGTCCTATGGACCGGTTGGACCAACTGGCCTGTTGGTCCTATGGACCGGTTGGACCAACTGGCCTGTTGGTCCTATGGACCGGTTGGACCAACTGGCCTGTTGGTCCTATGGACCGGTTGGACCAACTGGCCTGTTGGTCCTATGGACCGGTTGGACCAACTGGCCTGTTGGTCCTATGGACCGGTTGGACCAACTGGCCTGTTGGTCCTATGGACCGGTTGGACCAACTGGCCTGTTGGTCCTATGGACCGGTTGGACCAACTGGCCTGTTGGTCCTATGGACCGGTTGGACCAACTGGCCTGTTGGTCCTATGGACCGGTTGGACCAACTGGCCTGTTGGTCCTATGGACCGGTTGGACCAACTGGCCTGTTGGTCCTATGGACCGGTTGGACCAACTGGCCTGTTGGTCCTATGGACCGGTTGGACCAACTGGCCTGTTGGTCCTATGGACCGGTTGGACCAACTGGCCTGTTGGTCCTATGGACCGGTTGGACCAACTGGCCTGTTGGTCCTATGGACCGGTTGGACCAACTGGCCTGTTGGTCCTATGGACCGGTTGGACCAACTGGCCTGTTGGTCCTATGGACCGGTTGGACCAACTGGCCTGTTGGTCCTATGGACCGGTTGGACCAACTGGCCTGTTGGTCCTATGGACCGGTTGGACCAACTGGCCTGTTGGTCCTATGGACCGGTTGGACCAACTGGCCTGTTGGTCCTATGGACCGGTTGGACCAACTGGCCTGTTGGTCCTATGGACCGGTTGGACCAACTGGCCTGTTGGTCCTATGGACCGGTTGGACCAACTGGCCTGTTGGTCCTATGGACCGGTTGGACCAACTGGCCTGTTGGTCCTATGGACCGGTTGGACCAACTGGCCTGTTGGTCCTATGGACCGGTTGGACCAACTGGCCTGTTGGTCCTATGGACCGGTTGGACCAACTGGCCTGTTGGTCCTATGGACCGGTTGGACCAACTGGCCTGTTGGTCCTATGGACCGGTTGGACCAACTGGCCTGTTGGTCCTATGGACCGGTTGGACCAACTGGCCTGTTGGTCCTATGGACCGGTTGGACCAACTGGCCTGTTGGTCCTATGGACCGGTTGGACCAACTGGCCTGTTGGTCCTATGGACCGGTTGGACCAACTGGCCTGTTGGTCCTATGGACCGGTTGGACCAACTGGCCTGTTGGTCCTATGGACCGGTTGGACCAACTGGCCTGTTGGTCCTATGGACCGGTTGGACCAACTGGCCTGTTGGTCCTATGGACCGGTTGGACCAACTGGCCTGTTGGTCCTATGGACCGGTTGGACCAACTGGCCTGTTGGTCCTATGGACCGGTTGGACCAACTGGCCTGTTGGTCCTATGGACCGGTTGGACCAACTGGCCTGTTGGTCCTATGGACCGGTTGGACCAACTGGCCTGTTGGTCCTATGGACCGGTTGGACCAACTGGCCTGTTGGTCCTATGGACCGGTTGGACCAACTGGCCTGTTGGTCCTATGGACCGGTTGGACCAACTGGCCTGTTGGTCCTATGGACCGGTTGGACCAACTGGCCTGTTGGTCCTATGGACCGGTTGGACCAACTGGCCTGTTGGTCCTATGGACCGGTTGGACCAACTGGCCTGTTGGTCCTATGGACCGGTTGGACCAACTGGCCTGTTGGTCCTATGGACCGGTTGGACCAACTGGCCTGTTGGTCCTATGGACCGGTTGGACCAACTGGCCTGTTGGTCCTATGGACCGGTTGGACCAACTGGCCTGTTGGTCCTATGGACCGGTTGGACCAACTGGCCTGTTGGTCCTATGGACCGGTTGGACCAACTGGCCTGTTGGTCCTATGGACCGGTTGGACCAACTGGCCTGTTGGTCCTATGGACCGGTTGGACCAACTGGCCTGTTGGTCCTATGGACCGGTTGGACCAACTGGCCTGTTGGTCCTATGGACCGGTTGGACCAACTGGCCTGTTGGTCCTATGGACCGGTTGGACCAACTGGCCTGTTGGTCCTATGGACCGGTTGGACCAACTGGCCTGTTGGTCCTATGGACCGGTTGGACCAACTGGCCTGTTGGTCCTATGGACCGGTTGGACCAACTGGCCTGTTGGTCCTATGGACCGGTTGGACCAACTGGCCTGTTGGTCCTATGGACCGGTTGGACCAACTGGCCTGTTGGTCCTATGGACCGGTTGGACCAACTGGCCTGTTGGTCCTATGGACCGGTTGGACCAACTGGCCTGTTGGTCCTATGGACCGGTTGGACCAACTGGCCTGTTGGTCCTATGGACCGGTTGGACCAACTGGCCTGTTGGTCCTATGGACCGGTTGGACCAACTGGCCTGTTGGTCCTATGGACCGGTTGGACCAACTGGCCTGTTGGTCCTATGGACCGGTTGGACCAACTGGCCTGTTGGTCCTATGGACCGGTTGGACCAACTGGCCTGTTGGTCCTATGGACCGGTTGGACCAACTGGCCTGTTGGTCCTATGGACCGGTTGGACCAACTGGCCTGTTGGTCCTATGGACCGGTTGGACCAACTGGCCTGTTGGTCCTATGGACCGGTTGGACCAACTGGCCTGTTGGTCCTATGGACCGGTTGGACCAACTGGCCTGTTGGTCCTATGGACCGGTTGGACCAACTGGCCTGTTGGTCCTATGGACCGGTTGGACCAACTGGCCTGTTGGTCCTATGGACCGGTTGGACCAACTGGCCTGTTGGTCCTATGGACCGGTTGGACCAACTGGCCTGTTGGTCCTATGGACCGGTTGGACCAACTGGCCTGTTGGTCCTATGGACCGGTTGGACCAACTGGCCTGTTGGTCCTATGGACCGGTTGGACCAACTGGCCTGTTGGTCCTATGGACCGGTTGGACCAACTGGCCTGTTGGTCCTATGGACCGGTTGGACCAACTGGCCTGTTGGTCCTATGGACCGGTTGGACCAACTGGCCTGTTGGTCCTATGGACCGGTTGGACCAACTGGCCTGTTGGTCCTATGGACCGGTTGGACCAACTGGCCTGTTGGTCCTATGGACCGGTTGGACCAACTGGCCTGTTGGTCCTATGGACCGGTTGGACCAACTGGCCTGTTGGTCCTATGGACCGGTTGGACCAACTGGCCTGTTGGTCCTATGGACCGGTTGGACCAACTGGCCTGTTGGTCCTATGGACCGGTTGGACCAACTGGCCTGTTGGTCCTATGGACCGGTTGGACCAACTGGCCTGTTGGTCCTATGGACCGGTTGGACCAACTGGCCTGTTGGTCCTATGGACCGGTTGGACCAACTGGCCTGTTGGTCCTATGGACCGGTTGGACCAACTGGCCTGTTGGTCCTATGGACCGGTTGGACCAACTGGCCTGTTGGTCCTATGGACCGGTTGGACCAACTGGCCTGTTGGTCCTATGGACCGGTTGGACCAACTGGCCTGTTGGTCCTATGGACCGGTTGGACCAACTGGCCTGTTGGTCCTATGGACCGGTTGGACCAACTGGCCTGTTGGTCCTATGGACCGGTTGGACCAACTGGCCTGTTGGTCCTATGGACCGGTTGGACCAACTGGCCTGTTGGTCCTATGGACCGGTTGGACCAACTGGCCTGTTGGTCCTATGGACCGGTTGGACCAACTGGCCTGTTGGTCCTATGGACCGGTTGGACCAACTGGCCTGTTGGTCCTATGGACCGGTTGGACCAACTGGCCTGTTGGTCCTATGGACCGGTTGGACCAACTGGCCTGTTGGTCCTATGGACCGGTTGGACCAACTGGCCTGTTGGTCCTATGGACCGGTTGGACCAACTGGCCTGTTGGTCCTATGGACCGGTTGGACCAACTGGCCTGTTGGTCCTATGGACCGGTTGGACCAACTGGCCTGTTGGTCCTATGGACCGGTTGGACCAACTGGCCTGTTGGTCCTATGGACCGGTTGGACCAACTGGCCTGTTGGTCCTATGGACCGGTTGGACCAACTGGCCTGTTGGTCCTATGGACCGGTTGGACCAACTGGCCTGTTGGTCCTATGGACCGGTTGGACCAACTGGCCTGTTGGTCCTATGGACCGGTTGGACCAACTGGCCTGTTGGTCCTATGGACCGGTTGGACCAACTGGCCTGTTGGTCCTATGGACCGGTTGGACCAACTGGCCTGTTGGTCCTATGGACCGGTTGGACCAACTGGCCTGTTGGTCCTATGGACCGGTTGGACCAACTGGCCTGTTGGTCCTATGGACCGGTTGGACCAACTGGCCTGTTGGTCCTATGGACCGGTTGGACCAACTGGCCTGTTGGTCCTATGGACCGGTTGGACCAACTGGCCTGTTGGTCCTATGGACCGGTTGGACCAACTGGCCTGTTGGTCCTATGGACCGGTTGGACCAACTGGCCTGTTGGTCCTATGGACCGGTTGGACCAACTGGCCTGTTGGTCCTATGGACCGGTTGGACCAACTGGCCTGTTGGTCCTATGGACCGGTTGGACCAACTGGCCTGTTGGTCCTATGGACCGGTTGGACCAACTGGCCTGTTGGTCCTATGGACCGGTTGGACCAACTGGCCTGTTGGTCCTATGGACCGGTTGGACCAACTGGCCTGTTGGTCCTATGGACCGGTTGGACCAACTGGCCTGTTGGTCCTATGGACCGGTTGGACCAACTGGCCTGTTGGTCCTATGGACCGGTTGGACCAACTGGCCTGTTGGTCCTATGGACCGGTTGGACCAACTGGCCTGTTGGTCCTATGGACCGGTTGGACCAACTGGCCTGTTGGTCCTATGGACCGGTTGGACCAACTGGCCTGTTGGTCCTATGGACCGGTTGGACCAACTGGCCTGTTGGTCCTATGGACCGGTTGGACCAACTGGCCTGTTGGTCCTATGGACCGGTTGGACCAACTGGCCTGTTGGTCCTATGGACCGGTTGGACCAACTGGCCTGTTGGTCCTATGGACCGGTTGGACCAACTGGCCTGTTGGTCCTATGGACCGGTTGGACCAACTGGCCTGTTGGTCCTATGGACCGGTTGGACCAACTGGCCTGTTGGTCCTATGGACCGGTTGGACCAACTGGCCTGTTGGTCCTATGGACCGGTTGGACCAACTGGCCTGTTGGTCCTATGGACCGGTTGGACCAACTGGCCTGTTGGTCCTATGGACCGGTTGGACCAACTGGCCTGTTGGTCCTATGGACCGGTTGGACCAACTGGCCTGTTGGTCCTATGGACCGGTTGGACCAACTGGCCTGTTGGTCCTATGGACCGGTTGGACCAACTGGCCTGTTGGTCCTATGGACCGGTTGGACCAACTGGCCTGTTGGTCCTATGGACCGGTTGGACCAACTGGCCTGTTGGTCCTATGGACCGGTTGGACCAACTGGCCTGTTGGTCCTATGGACCGGTTGGACCAACTGGCCTGTTGGTCCTATGGACCGGTTGGACCAACTGGCCTGTTGGTCCTATGGACCGGTTGGACCAACTGGCCTGTTGGTCCTATGGACCGGTTGGACCAACTGGCCTGTTGGTCCTATGGACCGGTTGGACCAACTGGCCTGTTGGTCCTATGGACCGGTTGGACCAACTGGCCTGTTGGTCCTATGGACCGGTTGGACCAACTGGCCTGTTGGTCCTATGGACCGGTTGGACCAACTGGCCTGTTGGTCCTATGGACCGGTTGGACCAACTGGCCTGTTGGTCCTATGGACCGGTTGGACCAACTGGCCTGTTGGTCCTATGGACCGGTTGGACCAACTGGCCTGTTGGTCCTATGGACCGGTTGGACCAACTGGCCTGTTGGTCCTATGGACCGGTTGGACCAACTGGCCTGTTGGTCCTATGGACCGGTTGGACCAACTGGCCTGTTGGTCCTATGGACCGGTTGGACCAACTGGCCTGTTGGTCCTATGGACCGGTTGGACCAACTGGCCTGTTGGTCCTATGGACCGGTTGGACCAACTGGCCTGTTGGTCCTATGGACCGGTTGGACCAACTGGCCTGTTGGTCCTATGGACCGGTTGGACCAACTGGCCTGTTGGTCCTATGGACCGGTTGGACCAACTGGCCTGTTGGTCCTATGGACCGGTTGGACCAACTGGCCTGTTGGTCCTATGGACCGGTTGGACCAACTGGCCTGTTGGTCCTATGGACCGGTTGGACCAACTGGCCTGTTGGTCCTATGGACCGGTTGGACCAACTGGCCTGTTGGTCCTATGGACCGGTTGGACCAACTGGCCTGTTGGTCCTATGGACCGGTTGGACCAACTGGCCTGTTGGTCCTATGGACCGGTTGGACCAACTGGCCTGTTGGTCCTATGGACCGGTTGGACCAACTGGCCTGTTGGTCCTATGGACCGGTTGGACCAACTGGCCTGTTGGTCCTATGGACCGGTTGGACCAACTGGCCTGTTGGTCCTATGGACCGGTTGGACCAACTGGCCTGTTGGTCCTATGGACCGGTTGGACCAACTGGCCTGTTGGTCCTATGGACCGGTTGGACCAACTGGCCTGTTGGTCCTATGGACCGGTTGGACCAACTGGCCTGTTGGTCCTATGGACCGGTTGGACCAACTGGCCTGTTGGTCCTATGGACCGGTTGGACCAACTGGCCTGTTGGTCCTATGGACCGGTTGGACCAACTGGCCTGTTGGTCCTATGGACCGGTTGGACCAACTGGCCTGTTGGTCCTATGGACCGGTTGGACCAACTGGCCTGTTGGTCCTATGGACCGGTTGGACCAACTGGCCTGTTGGTCCTATGGACCGGTTGGACCAACTGGCCTGTTGGTCCTATGGACCGGTTGGACCAACTGGCCTGTTGGTCCTATGGACCGGTTGGACCAACTGGCCTGTTGGTCCTATGGACCGGTTGGACCAACTGGCCTGTTGGTCCTATGGACCGGTTGGACCAACTGGCCTGTTGGTCCTATGGACCGGTTGGACCAACTGGCCTGTTGGTCCTATGGACCGGTTGGACCAACTGGCCTGTTGGTCCTATGGACCGGTTGGACCAACTGGCCTGTTGGTCCTATGGACCGGTTGGACCAACTGGCCTGTTGGTCCTATGGACCGGTTGGACCAACTGGCCTGTTGGTCCTATGGACCGGTTGGACCAACTGGCCTGTTGGTCCTATGGACCGGTTGGACCAACTGGCCTGTTGGTCCTATGGACCGGTTGGACCAACTGGCCTGTTGGTCCTATGGACCGGTTGGACCAACTGGCCTGTTGGTCCTATGGACCGGTTGGACCAACTGGCCTGTTGGTCCTATGGACCGGTTGGACCAACTGGCCTGTTGGTCCTATGGACCGGTTGGACCAACTGGCCTGTTGGTCCTATGGACCGGTTGGACCAACTGGCCTGTTGGTCCTATGGACCGGTTGGACCAACTGGCCTGTTGGTCCTATGGACCGGTTGGACCAACTGGCCTGTTGGTCCTATGGACCGGTTGGACCAACTGGCCTGTTGGTCCTATGGACCGGTTGGACCAACTGGCCTGTTGGTCCTATGGACCGGTTGGACCAACTGGCCTGTTGGTCCTATGGACCGGTTGGACCAACTGGCCTGTTGGTCCTATGGACCGGTTGGACCAACTGGCCTGTTGGTCCTATGGACCGGTTGGACCAACTGGCCTGTTGGTCCTATGGACCGGTTGGACCAACTGGCCTGTTGGTCCTATGGACCGGTTGGACCAACTGGCCTGTTGGTCCTATGGACCGGTTGGACCAACTGGCCTGTTGGTCCTATGGACCGGTTGGACCAACTGGCCTGTTGGTCCTATGGACCGGTTGGACCAACTGGCCTGTTGGTCCTATGGACCGGTTGGACCAACTGGCCTGTTGGTCCTATGGACCGGTTGGACCAACTGGCCTGTTGGTCCTATGGACCGGTTGGACCAACTGGCCTGTTGGTCCTATGGACCGGTTGGACCAACTGGCCTGTTGGTCCTATGGACCGGTTGGACCAACTGGCCTGTTGGTCCTATGGACCGGTTGGACCAACTGGCCTGTTGGTCCTATGGACCGGTTGGACCAACTGGCCTGTTGGTCCTATGGACCGGTTGGACCAACTGGCCTGTTGGTCCTATGGACCGGTTGGACCAACTGGCCTGTTGGTCCTATGGACCGGTTGGACCAACTGGCCTGTTGGTCCTATGGACCGGTTGGACCAACTGGCCTGTTGGTCCTATGGACCGGTTGGACCAACTGGCCTGTTGGTCCTATGGACCGGTTGGACCAACTGGCCTGTTGGTCCTATGGACCGGTTGGACCAACTGGCCTGTTGGTCCTATGGACCGGTTGGACCAACTGGCCTGTTGGTCCTATGGACCGGTTGGACCAACTGGCCTGTTGGTCCTATGGACCGGTTGGACCAACTGGCCTGTTGGTCCTATGGACCGGTTGGACCAACTGGCCTGTTGGTCCTATGGACCGGTTGGACCAACTGGCCTGTTGGTCCTATGGACCGGTTGGACCAACTGGCCTGTTGGTCCTATGGACCGGTTGGACCAACTGGCCTGTTGGTCCTATGGACCGGTTGGACCAACTGGCCTGTTGGTCCTATGGACCGGTTGGACCAACTGGCCTGTTGGTCCTATGGACCGGTTGGACCAACTGGCCTGTTGGTCCTATGGACCGGTTGGACCAACTGGCCTGTTGGTCCTATGGACCGGTTGGACCAACTGGCCTGTTGGTCCTATGGACCGGTTGGACCAACTGGCCTGTTGGTCCTATGGACCGGTTGGACCAACTGGCCTGTTGGTCCTATGGACCGGTTGGACCAACTGGCCTGTTGGTCCTATGGACCGGTTGGACCAACTGGCCTGTTGGTCCTATGGACCGGTTGGACCAACTGGCCTGTTGGTCCTATGGACCGGTTGGACCAACTGGCCTGTTGGTCCTATGGACCGGTTGGACCAACTGGCCTGTTGGTCCTATGGACCGGTTGGACCAACTGGCCTGTTGGTCCTATGGACCGGTTGGACCAACTGGCCTGTTGGTCCTATGGACCGGTTGGACCAACTGGCCTGTTGGTCCTATGGACCGGTTGGACCAACTGGCCTGTTGGTCCTATGGACCGGTTGGACCAACTGGCCTGTTGGTCCTATGGACCGGTTGGACCAACTGGCCTGTTGGTCCTATGGACCGGTTGGACCAACTGGCCTGTTGGTCCTATGGACCGGTTGGACCAACTGGCCTGTTGGTCCTATGGACCGGTTGGACCAACTGGCCTGTTGGTCCTATGGACCGGTTGGACCAACTGGCCTGTTGGTCCTATGGACCGGTTGGACCAACTGGCCTGTTGGTCCTATGGACCGGTTGGACCAACTGGCCTGTTGGTCCTATGGACCGGTTGGACCAACTGGCCTGTTGGTCCTATGGACCGGTTGGACCAACTGGCCTGTTGGTCCTATGGACCGGTTGGACCAACTGGCCTGTTGGTCCTATGGACCGGTTGGACCAACTGGCCTGTTGGTCCTATGGACCGGTTGGACCAACTGGCCTGTTGGTCCTATGGACCGGTTGGACCAACTGGCCTGTTGGTCCTATGGACCGGTTGGACCAACTGGCCTGTTGGTCCTATGGACCGGTTGGACCAACTGGCCTGTTGGTCCTATGGACCGGTTGGACCAACTGGCCTGTTGGTCCTATGGACCGGTTGGACCAACTGGCCTGTTGGTCCTATGGACCGGTTGGACCAACTGGCCTGTTGGTCCTATGGACCGGTTGGACCAACTGGCCTGTTGGTCCTATGGACCGGTTGGACCAACTGGCCTGTTGGTCCTATGGACCGGTTGGACCAACTGGCCTGTTGGTCCTATGGACCGGTTGGACCAACTGGCCTGTTGGTCCTATGGACCGGTTGGACCAACTGGCCTGTTGGTCCTATGGACCGGTTGGACCAACTGGCCTGTTGGTCCTATGGACCGGTTGGACCAACTGGCCTGTTGGTCCTATGGACCGGTTGGACCAACTGGCCTGTTGGTCCTATGGACCGGTTGGACCAACTGGCCTGTTGGTCCTATGGACCGGTTGGACCAACTGGCCTGTTGGTCCTATGGACCGGTTGGACCAACTGGCCTGTTGGTCCTATGGACCGGTTGGACCAACTGGCCTGTTGGTCCTATGGACCGGTTGGACCAACTGGCCTGTTGGTCCTATGGACCGGTTGGACCAACTGGCCTGTTGGTCCTATGGACCGGTTGGACCAACTGGCCTGTTGGTCCTATGGACCGGTTGGACCAACTGGCCTGTTGGTCCTATGGACCGGTTGGACCAACTGGCCTGTTGGTCCTATGGACCGGTTGGACCAACTGGCCTGTTGGTCCTATGGACCGGTTGGACCAACTGGCCTGTTGGTCCTATGGACCGGTTGGACCAACTGGCCTGTTGGTCCTATGGACCGGTTGGACCAACTGGCCTGTTGGTCCTATGGACCGGTTGGACCAACTGGCCTGTTGGTCCTATGGACCGGTTGGACCAACTGGCCTGTTGGTCCTATGGACCGGTTGGACCAACTGGCCTGTTGGTCCTATGGACCGGTTGGACCAACTGGCCTGTTGGTCCTATGGACCGGTTGGACCAACTGGCCTGTTGGTCCTATGGACCGGTTGGACCAACTGGCCTGTTGGTCCTATGGACCGGTTGGACCAACTGGCCTGTTGGTCCTATGGACCGGTTGGACCAACTGGCCTGTTGGTCCTATGGACCGGTTGGACCAACTGGCCTGTTGGTCCTATGGACCGGTTGGACCAACTGGCCTGTTGGTCCTATGGACCGGTTGGACCAACTGGCCTGTTGGTCCTATGGACCGGTTGGACCAACTGGCCTGTTGGTCCTATGGACCGGTTGGACCAACTGGCCTGTTGGTCCTATGGACCGGTTGGACCAACTGGCCTGTTGGTCCTATGGACCGGTTGGACCAACTGGCCTGTTGGTCCTATGGACCGGTTGGACCAACTGGCCTGTTGGTCCTATGGACCGGTTGGACCAACTGGCCTGTTGGTCCTATGGACCGGTTGGACCAACTGGCCTGTTGGTCCTATGGACCGGTTGGACCAACTGGCCTGTTGGTCCTATGGACCGGTTGGACCAACTGGCCTGTTGGTCCTATGGACCGGTTGGACCAACTGGCCTGTTGGTCCTATGGACCGGTTGGACCAACTGGCCTGTTGGTCCTATGGACCGGTTGGACCAACTGGCCTGTTGGTCCTATGGACCGGTTGGACCAACTGGCCTGTTGGTCCTATGGACCGGTTGGACCAACTGGCCTGTTGGTCCTATGGACCGGTTGGACCAACTGGCCTGTTGGTCCTATGGACCGGTTGGACCAACTGGCCTGTTGGTCCTATGGACCGGTTGGACCAACTGGCCTGTTGGTCCTATGGACCGGTTGGACCAACTGGCCTGTTGGTCCTATGGACCGGTTGGACCAACTGGCCTGTTGGTCCTATGGACCGGTTGGACCAACTGGCCTGTTGGTCCTATGGACCGGTTGGACCAACTGGCCTGTTGGTCCTATGGACCGGTTGGACCAACTGGCCTGTTGGTCCTATGGACCGGTTGGACCAACTGGCCTGTTGGTCCTATGGACCGGTTGGACCAACTGGCCTGTTGGTCCTATGGACCGGTTGGACCAACTGGCCTGTTGGTCCTATGGACCGGTTGGACCAACTGGCCTGTTGGTCCTATGGACCGGTTGGACCAACTGGCCTGTTGGTCCTATGGACCGGTTGGACCAACTGGCCTGTTGGTCCTATGGACCGGTTGGACCAACTGGCCTGTTGGTCCTATGGACCGGTTGGACCAACTGGCCTGTTGGTCCTATGGACCGGTTGGACCAACTGGCCTGTTGGTCCTATGGACCGGTTGGACCAACTGGCCTGTTGGTCCTATGGACCGGTTGGACCAACTGGCCTGTTGGTCCTATGGACCGGTTGGACCAACTGGCCTGTTGGTCCTATGGACCGGTTGGACCAACTGGCCTGTTGGTCCTATGGACCGGTTGGACCAACTGGCCTGTTGGTCCTATGGACCGGTTGGACCAACTGGCCTGTTGGTCCTATGGACCGGTTGGACCAACTGGCCTGTTGGTCCTATGGACCGGTTGGACCAACTGGCCTGTTGGTCCTATGGACCGGTTGGACCAACTGGCCTGTTGGTCCTATGGACCGGTTGGACCAACTGGCCTGTTGGTCCTATGGACCGGTTGGACCAACTGGCCTGTTGGTCCTATGGACCGGTTGGACCAACTGGCCTGTTGGTCCTATGGACCGGTTGGACCAACTGGCCTGTTGGTCCTATGGACCGGTTGGACCAACTGGCCTGTTGGTCCTATGGACCGGTTGGACCAACTGGCCTGTTGGTCCTATGGACCGGTTGGACCAACTGGCCTGTTGGTCCTATGGACCGGTTGGACCAACTGGCCTGTTGGTCCTATGGACCGGTTGGACCAACTGGCCTGTTGGTCCTATGGACCGGTTGGACCAACTGGCCTGTTGGTCCTATGGACCGGTTGGACCAACTGGCCTGTTGGTCCTATGGACCGGTTGGACCAACTGGCCTGTTGGTCCTATGGACCGGTTGGACCAACTGGCCTGTTGGTCCTATGGACCGGTTGGACCAACTGGCCTGTTGGTCCTATGGACCGGTTGGACCAACTGGCCTGTTGGTCCTATGGACCGGTTGGACCAACTGGCCTGTTGGTCCTATGGACCGGTTGGACCAACTGGCCTGTTGGTCCTATGGACCGGTTGGACCAACTGGCCTGTTGGTCCTATGGACCGGTTGGACCAACTGGCCTGTTGGTCCTATGGACCGGTTGGACCAACTGGCCTGTTGGTCCTATGGACCGGTTGGACCAACTGGCCTGTTGGTCCTATGGACCGGTTGGACCAACTGGCCTGTTGGTCCTATGGACCGGGTTGGACCAACTGGCCTGTTGGTCCTATGGACCGGTTGGACCAACTGGCCTGTTGGTCCTATGGACCGGTTGGACCAACTGGCCTGTTGGTCCTATGGACCGGTTGGACCAACTGGCCTGTTGGTCCTATGGACCGGTTGGACCAACTGGCCTGTTGGTCCTATGGACCGGTTGGACCAACTGGCCTGTTGGTCCTATGGACCGGTTGGACCAACTGGCCTGTTGGTCCTATGGACCGGTTGGACCAACTGGCCTGTTGGTCCTATGGACCGGTTGGACCAACTGGCCTGTTGGTCCTATGGACCGGTTGGACCAACTGGCCTGTTGGTCCTATGGACCGGTTGGACCAACTGGCCTGTTGGTCCTATGGACCGGTTGGACCAACTGGCCTGTTGGTCCTATGGACCGGTTGGACCAACTGGCCTGTTGGTCCTATGGACCGGTTGGACCAACTGGCCTGTTGGTCCTATGGACCGGTTGGACCAACTGGCCTGTTGGTCCTATGGACCGGTTGGACCAACTGGCCTGTTGGTCCTATGGACCGGTTGGACCAACTGGCCTGTTGGTCCTATGGACCGGTTGGACCAACTGGCTGTTGGTCCTATGGACCGGTTGGGGACCAACTGGCCTGTTGGTCCTATGGACCGGTTGGACCAACTGGCCTGTTGGTCCTATGGACCGGTTGGACCAACTGGCCTGTTGGTCCTATGGACCGGTTGGACCAACTGGCCTGTTGGTCCTATGGACCGGTTGGACCAACTGGCCTGTTGGTCCTATGGACCGGTTGGACCAACTGGCCTGTTGGTCCTATGGACCGGTTGGACCAACTGGCCTGTTGGTCCTATGGACCGGTTGGACCAACTGGCCTGTTGGTCCTATGGACCGGTTGGACCAACTGGCCTGTTGGTCCTATGGACCGGTTGGACCAACTGGCCTGTTGGTCCTATGGACCGGTTGGACCAACTGGCCTGTTGGTCCTATGGACCGGTTGGACCAACTGGCCTGTTGGTCCTATGGACCGGTTGGACCAACTGGCCTGTGGTCCTATGGACCGGTTGGACCAACTGGCTGTTGGTCCTATGGACCGGTTGGACCAACTGGCCTGTTGGTCCTATGGACCGGTTGGACCAACTGGCATGTTGGTCCTATGGACCGGTTGGACCAACTGGCCTGCTGGTCCTATGGACCGGTTGGACCAACTGGCATGTTGGTCCTATGGACCGGTTGGACCAACTGGCCTGTTGGTCCTATGGACCGGTTGGACCAACTGGCCTGTTGGTCCTATGGACCGGTTGGACCAACTCGCCTGTTGGTCCTATGGACCGGTTGGACCAACTGGCCTGTTGGTCCTATGGACCGGTTGGACCAACTGGCCTGTTGGTCCTATGGACCGGTTGGACCAACTGGCCTGTTGGTCCTATGGACCGGTTGGACCAACTGGCCTGTGGTCCTATGGACCGGTTGGACCAACTGGCCTGTTGGTCCTATGGACCGGTTGGACCAACTGGCCTGTTGGTCCTATGGACCGGTTGGACCAACTGGCCTGTTGGTCCTATGGACCGGTTGGACCAACTGGCATGTTGGTCCTATGGACCGGTTGGACCAACTGGCCTGTTGGTCCTATGGACCGGTTGGACCAACTGGCCTGTTGGTCCTATGGACCGGTTGGACCAACTGGCCTGTTGGCCTATGGACCGGTTGGACCAACTGGCCTGTTGGTCCTATGGACCGGTTGGACCAACTGGCATGTTGGTCCTATGGACCGGTTGGACCAACTGGCCTGTTGGTCCTATGGACCGGTTGGACCAACTGGCCTGTTGGTCCTATGGACCGGTTGGACCAACTGGCCTGTTGGTCCTATGGACCGGTTGGACCAACTGGCCTGTTGGTCCTATGGACCGGTTGGACCAACTGGCCTGTTGGTCCTATGGACCGGTTGGACCAACTGGCCTGTTGGTCCTATGGACCGGTTGGACCAACTGGCCTGTTGGTCCTGGGACCGGTTGGACCAACTGGCCTGTTGGTATGGACCGGTTGGACCAACTGGCCTGTTGGTCCTATGGACCGGTTGGACCAACTGGCCTGTTGGTCCTATGGACCGGTTGGACCAACTGGCCTGTTGGTCCTATGGACCGGTTGGACCAACTGGCCTGTTGGTCCTATGGACCGGTTGGACCAACTGGCCTGTTGGTCCTATGGACCGGTTGGACCAACTGGCCTGTTGGTCCTATGGACCGTTGGACCAACTGGCTGTTGGTCCTATGGACCGGTTGGACCAACTGGCCTGTTGGTCCTATGGACCGGTTGGACCAACTGGCCTGTTGGTCCTATGGACCGGTTGGACCAACTGGCCTGTTGGTCCTATGGACGGTTGGACCAACTGGCCTGTTGGTCCTATGGACCGGTTGGACCAACTGGCCTGTTGGTCCTATGGACCGGTTGGACCAACTGGCCTGTTGGTCCTATGGACCGGTTGGACCAACTGGCTGTTGGTCCTATGGACCGGTTGGACCAACTGGCCTGTTGGTCCTATGGACCGGTTGGACCAACTGGCCTGTTGGTCCTATGGACCGGTTGGACCAACTGGCCTGTTGGTCCTATGGACCGGTTGGACCAACTGGCCTGTTGGTCCTATGGACCGGTTGGACCAACTGGCCTGTTGGTCCTATGGACCGGTTGGACCAACTGGCCTGTTGGTCCTATGGACCGGTTGGACCAACTGGCCTGTTGGTCCTATGGACCGGTTGGACCAACTGGCCTGTTGTCCTATGGACCGGTTGGACCAACTGGCCTGTTGGTCCTATGGACCGGTTGGACCAACTGGCCTGTTGGTCCTATGGACGGTTGGACCAACTGGCCTGTTGGTCCTATGGACCGGTTGGACCAACTGGCCTGTTGGTCCTATGGACCGGTTGGACCAACTGGCCTGTTGGTCCTATGGACCGGTTGGACCAACTGGCCTGTTGGTCCTATGGACCGGTTGGACCAACTGGCCTGTTGGTCCTATGGACCGGTTGGACCAACTGGCCTGTTGGTCCTATGGACCGGTTGGACCAACTGGCCTGTTGGTCCTATGGACCGGTTGGACCAACTGGCCTGTTGGTCCTATGGACCGGTTGGACCAACTGGCCTGTTGGTCCTATGGACCGGTTGGACCAACTGGCCTGTTGGTCCTATGGACCGGTTGGACCAACTGGCCTGTTGGTCCTATGGACCGGTTGGACCAACTGGCCTGTTGGTCCTATGGACCGGTTGGACCAACTGGCCTGTTGGTCCTATGGACCGGTTGGACCAACTGGCCTGTTGGTCCTATGGACCGGTTGGACCAACTGGCCTGTTGGTCCTATGGACCGGTTGGACCAACTGGCCTGTTGGTCCTATGGACCGGTTGGACCAACTGGCCTGTTGGTCCTATGGACCGGTTGGACCAACTGGCCTGTTGGTCCTATGGACCGGTTGGACCAACTGGCCTGTTGGTCCTATGGACCGGTTGGACCAACTGGCCTGTTGGTCCTATGGACCGGTTGGACCAACTGGCCTGTTGGTCCTATGGACCGGTTGGACCACTGGCTGTTGTCCTATGGACCGGTTGGACCAACTGGCCTGTTGGTCCTATGGACGGGTTGGACCAACTGGCCTGTTGGTCCTATGGACCGGTTGGACCAACTGGCCTGTTGGTCCTATGGACCGGTTGGACCAACTGGCCTGTTGGTCCTATGGACCGGGTGGACCAACTGGCCTGTTGGTCCTATGGACCGGTTGGACCAACTGGCCTGTTGGTCCTATGGACCGGTTGGACCAACTGGCCTGTTGGTCCTATGGACCGGTTGGACCAACTGGCCTGTTGGTCCTATGGACCGGTTGGACCAACTGGCCTGTTGGTCCTATGGACCGGTTGGACCAACTGGCCTGTTGGTCCTATGGACCGGTTGGACCAACTGGCCTGTTGGTCCTATGGACGGTTTCCACTCCCTGCCCGAATGGTGGACCGGTTGGACCAACTGGCCTGTTGGTCCTATGGACCGGTTGGACCAACTGGCCTGTTGGTCCTATGGACCGGTTGGACCAACTGGCCTGTTGGTCCTATGGACCGGTTGGACCAACTGGCCTGTTGGTCCTATGGACCGGTTGGACCAACTGGCCTGTTGGTCCTATGGACCGGTTGGACCAACTGGCCTGTTGGTCCTATGGACCGGTTGGACCAACTGGCCTGTGGTCCTATGGACCGGTTGGACCAACTGGCCTGTTGGTCCTATGGACCGGTGGACCAACTGGCCTGTTGGTCCTATGGACCGGTTGGACCAACTGGCCTGTTGGTCCTATGGACCGGTTGGACCAACTGGCCTGTTGGTCCTGGGACCGGTTGGACCAACTGGCATGTTGGTCCTATGGACCGGTTGGACCAACTGGCCTGTTGGTCCTATGGACCGGTTGGACCAACTGGCCTGTTGGTCCTATGGACCGGTTGGACCAACTGGCCTGTTGGTCCAATGGACCGGTTGGACCAACTGGCCTGTTGGTCCTATGGACCGGTTGGACCAACTGGCCTGTTGGTCCTATGGACCGGTTGGACCAACTGGCCGTTGGTCCTATGGACCGGTTGGACCAACTGGCCTGTTGGTCCTATGGACCGGTTGGACCAACTGGCCTGTTGGTCCTATGGACCGGTTGGACCAACTGGCCTGTTGGTCCTATGGACCGGTTGGACCAACTGGCCTGTTGGTCCTATGGACCGGTTGGACCAACTGGCCTGTTGGTCCTATGGACCGGTTGGACCAACTGGCCTGTTGGTCCTATGGACCGGTTGGACCAACTGGCCTGTTGGTCCTATGGACCGGTTGGACCAACTGGCCTGTTGGTCCTATGGACCGGTTGGACCAACTGGCCTGTTGGTCCTATGGACCGGTTGGACCAACTGGCCTGTTGGTCCTATGGACCGGTTGGACCAACTGGCCAGTGGTCCTATGGACCGGTTGGACCAACTGGCCTGTTGGTCCTATGGACCGGTTGGACCAACTGGCCTGTTGGTCCTATGGACCGGTTGGACCAACTGGCCTGTTGGTCCTATGGACCGGTTGGACCAACTGGCCTGTTGGTCCTATGGACCCGTTGGACCAACTGGCCTGTTGGTCCTATGGACCGGTTGGACCAACTGGCCTGTTGGTCCTATGGACCGGTTGGACCAACTGGCCTGTTGGTCCTATGGACCGGTTGGACCAACTGGCCTGTTGTCCTATGGACCGGTTGGACCAACTGGCGTGTTGGTCCTATGGACCGGTTGGACCAACTGGCCTGTTGGTCCTATGGACCGGTTGGACCAACTGGCCTGTTGGTCCTATGGACCGGTTGGACCAACTGGCCTGTTGGTCCTATGGACCGGTTGGACCAACTGGCCTGTTGGTCCTATGGACCGGTTGGACCAACTGGCCTGTTGGTCCTATGGACCGGTTGGACCAACTGGCTGGCCTGTTGGTCCTATGGACCGGTTGGACCAACTGGCCTGTTGGTCCTATGGACCCGGTTGGACCAATGGCCTGTTGGTCCTATGGACCGGTTGGACCAACTGGCCTGTTGGTCCTATGGACCGGTTGGACCAACTGGCCTGTTGGTCCTATGGACCGGTTGGACCAACTGGCCTGTTGGTCCTATGGACCGGTTGGACCAACTGGCCTGTTGGTCCAATGGACCGGTTGGACCAACTGGCCTGTTGGTCCTATGGACCGGTTGGACCAACTGGCCTGTTGGTCCTATGGACCGGTTGGACCAACTGGCCTGTTGTCCTATGGACCGGTTGGACCAACTGGCCTGTTGGTCCTATGGACCGGTTGGACCAACTGGCCTGTTGGTCCTATGGACCGGTTGGACCAACTGGCCTGTTGGTCCTATGGACCGGTTGGACCAACTGGCTGTTGGTCCTATGGACCGGTTGGACCAACTGGCCTGTTGGTCCTATGGACCGGTTGGACCAACTGGCATGTTGGTCCTATGGACCGGTTGGACCAACTGGCCTGTTGGTCCTATGGACCGGTTGGACCAACTGGCCTGTTGGTCCTATGGACCGGTTGGACCAACTGGCCTGTTGGTCCTATGGACCGGTTGGACCAACTGGCCTGTTGGTCCTATGGACCGGTTGGACCAACTGGCCTGTTGGTCCTATGGACCGGTTGGACCAACTGGCATGTTGGTCCTATGGACCGGTTGGACCAACTGGCCTGTTGGTCCTATGGACCGGTTGGACCAACTGGCCTGTTGGTCCTATGGACCGGTTGGACCAACTGGCCTGTTGGTCCTATGGACCGGTTGGACCAACTGGCCTGTTGGTCCTATGGACCGGTTGGACCAACTGGCCTGTTGGTCCTATGGACCGGTTGGACCAACTGGCCTGTTGGTCCTATGGACCGTTGGACCAACTGGCCTGTTGGTCCTATGGACCGGTTGGACCAACTGGCTGTTGGTCCTATGGACCGGTTGGACCAACTGGCCTGTTGGTCCTATGGACCGGTTGGACCAAAGGGCCTGTTGGTCCTATGGACCGGTTGGACCAACTGGCCTGTTGGTCCTATGGACCGGTTGGACCAACTGGCATGTTGGTCCTATGGACCGGTTGGACCAACTGGCCTGTTGGTCCTATGGACGGTTGGACCAACTGGCCTGTTGGTCCTATGGACCGGTTGGACCAACTGGCATGTTGGTCCTATGGACCGGTTGGACCAACTGGCCTGTTGGTCCTATGGACCGTTGGACCAACTGGCATGTTGGTCCTATGGACCGGTTGGACCAACTGGCCTGTTGGTCCTATGGACCGGTTGGACCAACTGGCCTGTTGGTCCTATGGACCGGTTGGACCAACTGGCCTGTTGGTCCTATGGACCGGTTGGACCAACTGGCCTGTTGGTCCTATGGACCGGTTGGACCAACTGCCTGTTGGTCCTATGGACCGGTTGGACCAACTGGCCTGTTGGTCCTATGGACCGGTTGGACAAATGGCCGTTGTTGGTCCTAGGACCGGTTGGACCAACTGGCCTGTTGGTCCTATGGACCGGTTGGACCAACTGGCCTGTGGTCCTATGGACCGGTTGGACCAACTGGCCTGTTGGTCCTATGGACCGGC